AAAAAAACTTTTAAAAATCTGCCAAGTTCTTAGAAATGTACTATTTGTATTCACAAATTAGCTTTTGAAAAACTTTCAATAAATGTTTACAATTAATATAAATAATATTAATATAACCATCAAGTAAAAAGTACTTTCCTTAAACCTTGAATACACCTTAATCGCTATTTTAATTTTTTTAATATATTTTACAAAATAAAAAGTTTTTCGTTTTTTTTTTCTTTAATTTTAGTTCATAATTTAAATACATAAAGACATTTTACAGCCTGAACTAAACTTGCCTTGTTATAAAAAAACAAATGATTTCAAAGATTAAATGATTTTGACATACAGTCATTTTTGGGTGCTTTCAATTATATCATTTTTTTCTGCATGTTGGTTGCATCACTTGACCTTGATTTTGGTGAGCAAAACATTTCAAATATTACTGAGCAGTTTGGTTAAAATAATATTTTTTTTACTAAGAAATGATTATATACTGTATACAGTGGAGATCAAAATTATAGAACAACGTACAATTTCCTAAATTTCGAGGTAAACTGCTTAGTCCAATATCCTAACAGGAGTAAAAGTCTTTTTGAGCATATTTCATGAGTTAAATATATTCTGAAGCACAGTATAAAAAACTTAAATGAGAAATTTGAAAAAGAACTCTGGTCAAAATTAGAGAATACTTTTAGATATCTCCCAGTTAGATATCTCTCCTCACTGTGAGTTAATCTGGCACCTGGTGCTAATTTCCTTAATTATCCGACACACCTTATTTGAACTGGCAGCCCTACTTTCCAGTTTTCACTGAGATTGCAAGATGGTGAGCCGTTCTAAAGTGACTGAAACCCTCCGACAGCAGGTTGTCCAGATGAAGGCCATAGCAAGAGAAGTTGGTCTTTCCAAATCTTTGATTTAGAATATTGCATCTTTACAATGTCAATAACTCATTCAAGTCCCCCAAAAAGGCTGTCCACGTTATCCACAAAAAGACAAATGCACGAGAGAACAGGATAATGCAGAGAATCTCTATGGGCAATCGGTTCAACACTGCAGCTGGAATTGCTCGCCATTTCAACGCTGAAGAGGGTCTCGGCATATAGTGTTTAAGAGACATCTGACTGAAAGCCCACTCTGCAGTGACCAAACCTCTCATCAGCAGAAAAATCAAAAGGCTAGGCCTTTATTTGGTCCAAAGCATTTATTTGGGTACGATGGGAAACATTATGTTCATCGCCAAACTGGGGAAAGACTGAACCCAGTGTGTAAAGAAGTCAGTTAAAGTTGGAGGAGGAAGTGTCATGGTTTGGCGGATGTTTTCTGCAGCAGGAGTTGGGCCTCTTATACAGCTACATGGCAGAGTGAATGCAAATGTTTATCAGAACCTCCTGCGGCTACATGCTGTTCCTTCCCTGCATTTATCACCCAATCAGCCTGCAATTTTCATGCAGGACAATGCCCCCATCTATTACAAAATGGGTAAAGCAATTCCTTGAAGCTGAAAACGATAGTCTTGATCTAAACCCAATTGAAAATCTCTGGAAAATCCTTGGTGACAAAGTTATGGCTAAGAAACCCACTACAGTCACCGAACTGTGGAAGAGACTGGAAGAAGATTGGACCAAGATCATACCAGAGCAGTGTGAGAGACTATAGTGATGTCCTGTGGCCGCAGATGTGCTGGAGTCATTCAAAGCAACTAATTTCTGACTGCTGTAACCTTCAGAAACTTTAGTTGTAGTCTTTCTTTGTGCTACAATCATTGCTGTTCTCTAATTTTGATAACTGTGTTTTACACAAAATAAAGGGTTTGTGTTGAAGTGCCTTGGTTATTTTGTAAAACACTGCACTGTATAGCCACAACTAAAAGTCCTTCAAATTTTAGGCTAAATGGTGAAGATTACATTATTTCTGAAAAAATCAAGTGCTCATAGTAGTAGTAGTATATTTTTATTTAATGCCATGTCAGCATCTTAAGCTATTTTCATGGCAAAAACGATTCAAAAATACAAGTATAACAAATACAATAAAACCAGCAAACAAACAAACACAAGTTTTATTACACAAGATTTTTTACATTAATCAAGGTCATAAATTGTTCTTTAATTTTGATCTCCACTGTATATATAAATTTAATAAAAAATACAATTATTTTAATAGGGCCCTTAATAGGGTTCTTTTTTTAAAGAATTTCATTCTTTTAAATCAGCACATAAAAAAAAATCTCTCTCCTGATCATATCCACAAATGGAGGACTGACCAACTGCATGTAATATAGGCTGACCTGAACAATTAAATTAGACACAGCGAGCTCAAATCACAAAAAGGCATCATGATGGAATTGCTGCCTTATGGCAATCATTGATTATTTTCACACAAGGAATACATTTTGAGACACAGAAAACAAGCACCATCTGCACAATAATATGTTGTTATCATTGTATAACGTCACTCACTCACAAACACCCGCACACATGCACACACTTTCTTTGTTTTTCTGCTCATTTGTGTTAATATATGGTAGCAGATGTCTCCAGGGCAGCTGAAATCATTACAATGGCAGAAATCTGCTCTGAACGTCAGTGGAATTTCAATTATTACCCTTCACTGTGCCTGCAGTGAGACCACTTTAGGTTTCAGTGCTGCCCATGACAGGTTAAAAAAGGGGATCTGACACATATCACTCGCTTTTGGAGATGATTGATGCTTTCGCAAGTAGAGGTTTTCACTGCGAGTCAATAACAATTCGACAGGTAACAAAGTGCATCCTGGTTTCACAACAATAACTGCAGTTAGATGGAATTAAACTGCTCCAGTATAACATCTGACACTGCTAAACAAGAACAAGCCGCAACATTCAGGGTGATCACAGAGATCTCTCTTAGTCATGAAGGGAACTTTATTAGTCATGCTTGAGGGCAAGCATCACTATTACTATTGTAGTTAGGGGGTAGTTCACTGAGAAGCTATGCAAACAGCTGTCATTATCGCGAACGATTTCTTCGATTTCAGAATCGCTTGTCAGTGAACTACGGCTCTGTGTATTAAATTCTGCTCCATCTGAAAGCAGCTGATGATGATTTCCTGCTGATTACAGAACCGGCATTACTAACAAATTGCGCATGACAATCGCATTCGATTAATCGTGCAGCCCTAGT